GTAACTCTGCAAACGAAGCGTCTAGAGGCCGAATTTTTAAGCATGAATTGGGAGCCGCAATACCTTCTAACAGCCATGGTGGCTACTTTCAATTTTCTTAACTAGAAGCATCTGCCGGGAAAAACAGTGCCACTAGAAGCAAAAACCTGCGGGGGAACTGTGCAAAAAACGCATCTTCGCACCGGCAATCAGTGCGCTGTCAACTAAATATGTAAAGCACATAAAAGCCAATGTAACTTACAATATATCGTAGGTCATTGAAGAAGCCAGGAAATGAGTTTTAGTTTCATCCCTTTCAACATTCTGATGGCTGGAATATCATTCCAAACTTTCAGCTGCCCAGCTTACGCAGTTCCTGACATGCCTTCTCTAGTCAAATACAAATAAATACACACACACACACGCATGCAAACATGACCCGCCATAATACCCTCCTTGTTTCACAAAAATGTTAAGAAACAAACGCAGTTGGAGTGCCATTCCAATTCTAGAAGATTCTTCAGATCTCTGTTGACGAAAACGTTGTCAACACGAAGATTGAGAGAGTCATCAGGTTTCGTCTCGCCCGCGTAATCCACGCCATTTATTGCACAGCGGCGAAAAATCATCAAATTCTCTACAGAAAAAAGTTTCGTCAAAAATTAAAAATTGAGTGAATAGATGTTCATTCATAACTTTTTATCACCATCTGCGCAACTTTCAACTTTTCCGAGGAAAGGCCTGGAGAATTTTGTGAAATATTAGAAAAATAGCACTTTGAGTCCTTGGTTCCAATTGCTGCAAATCGATTTCATTCTCGTGGCAATGTGCTGATAGTATCAGCTCCAGCTTGTCAAGTATCATGTTTACTTAAAACACATATTAGTTTTCAGAATCAGAAGAGGAAAACGTCACTGGACTATACTGAACAGGATAAATATGTTTTACCATTAGTATGGGTATTTTGAACGCCATTTACTTAAGAAAAGTGAACTGAAGGAATTGAGGATAGACCGGTAAGGGTTCCAGTTTTGTCTGACATGATGTACTGCACACGTCCGAGTTCTTCCGGAATGTTCAGCGATCGGCATTCCATAGCACGATCACGGCGTTCGCAGTACAATTTCACATCCTGTGAGATGAAATAAATCTGGCCAAGTTTAATAAGTTCTACCGAAATGTATAGCGACAGAGGTATCAGAATCTGAAATTAAATGAAATGACAAAAAGATTTAGAAAGTTTAGGCTTAAAAATAATGGAAATATCAAAAAAACTCAGTAAACACAAAACGGATGCAAAAAGCGCCTTTTGAATTTTATTTCCCAACAAATTTTTTAAATCATCAGAAGCCTTGTAATGTTTGAAACTTAAAAAGCTCTTCTATCAATACCTGATAGTTGAGAATGGCGGAGACTAGATTGAGAATGCCATCGGTAACAGCTGATTTGGTGATCATAATTATGAAAATGACACGGCCAGTGTGCGGTGAAAAGGATAGGAGCCAGAGGGTTGAAGCGATACCAGCGAATAGGCACATACCGATAAGGATCAGGATGCAATAAAGGATGAAGCGGTTTGTGATAATTTCCAGCGAGCTTCGCTTGTACCGCGCTCCGGAATTGTTCAACATTACTTTTGTCTCGTTGCCGAAAATGCAGCATTTGGATTTATCAGTCACATCAGCAAGGAATTTCA